AAACTTCTCAATAACCTACTTACAAAATTTCCCAGAAACCAAAAAAAACTATGCACCAAAATATAAATAACTGTGCACCGACCCTTTTTCAGAAATACTATTTCAGTTTAAATAAGCTAAAGTTCCTGACTTTTTTCACACACGAGAGAAATCCAGTTGGGAAAAAATCAAAACTTTGAAGAAACGGGATTAAAATTTCAATTGGGTTGATTGTAATAGCAACCCACCGTCGCAATAATTGAAATTTAAACGAATTAAGCAAGAATTGAACTCACCGAGACAAACCCAGTTGGGAAAAAGCAACAATTTGAAGAAAAAGGGATTGGATTTCTGTCAGGTTCTTTTCTATGAAGGATTGGAGAAAGTCGAAAAAGAATGGTTATGGGGTTAGAGATAATATTGCTATGATTATCCTGTGTAGCTCCAACAAACATGACTAATTGCAAAAAATGTATTTGTAAATCGAGGGAAGAAGTTGAAAATCTCTATAATTTTAAAGGGTTTGTGGATACGACGGCTATGGTAAAAATGGAGGAAAATTAGGGTTTCAACTTTCAAAGACAAACTAGAATAAAATAGGAAAAAATGTCTGAAAAATACTTCAACTTTGGTCGAAATTGCTGTTACGATATCAAACTTTATGGAAGACATTTTACCCCAGCACAATTTAATAGTGTATTTTAAAGGTTAAAATACATTATTAAATAGTACAGGGGTAAATGTCATTTCCAAAATTTGGTATCGTAACAACAATTTCGACCAAAGTTGAAGTATTTTTCAGACATTTTTCCCTAGTTCCCAATTATTTTTTTTATTTAAAGAAGAATAATAGACTTTAAAACATTGTAACTATCAAAAACCACTAAACACGTGATAAAAATCGATTAAAATTTGATTTATTGGTTATCGAGTTGTAGATATGCTAAATCGTTATAAAATTATTAAAATATTTATTTACCGGCTATATTGATTGTTATCGATTTAACTATTAAGATTTGACATAAAAAAAATCATTGAAAATTACTCAGAAATAAGAAACAAGGTGACAAAACCAAATCAACCCTACATTATTTTGCTCAAAAGCAAACAGTAAGACATTGTAGAATAATAGAGAGTATGAGACAATCAAATATAAAAATATGAAACTAAACTCTAAGTCAAGAAATATATATCAAATAGTATAAATATAATTATTTAATTTACTATGGGATTATTAGCTAACCCGTTAAGAACCAATAATTTGACAATAAAATAAATTAAAACTATTACCGAAACTACTAAATTAATAACCCATTAGATAACCCAATAACATTTTTTCAATTCAAATTATCAATTTTAAATAGCCCTAAGATCGATCGACAAATGATCGAGCTCAATTCATTCTTTGATCAATTTATTTAGAAAATTTAATCAACACACTCTTTTTTATCAAATAAACTAATCAAGCTTAACTAATTTCTCGAAATAGTTATTTTATTTTTTAATAAAATCAACCAAGCACGATCGATATAAAATTATTAGTTCTATATGACAATTCGACCTATCATTCAACACAAGTGATAGCTACAATAAAGTTGAAACCATGCAATATTATAAATAGTTTACCACTTTACACCTTTGTCTTTAGATCATCTAGTTGATGGTTGTTAGATCGCAGAAGGTGATATTGTTGAACAGGGTGGCTCAAAGGTAAGGCTGACAAAACGTTACTTAGGCTTCCAAAGTGTTATTTTTGTGTATTTTTTAGTAAAATCGAAACAAAATCAAATAGCATCAGGTTTTCAAAGTTTAAAACCAAATCTAAACCAATTACCAAATCAAAATTTAATTTTTTAATAGGTTTGGTTCGGATTGCGGCTCGATTTGATTTTTAAACCATAACTATGAACAACCCTAGACACATCTATCAAAGATATATACTAGATACATGTATCTTTGATGCTAGATACATCCTGAAATATGGATACGTAAGGAGAGAGGAGAGGGAAGACCAAGAGAGGCCACGAGCTCAAATACATGCGATCACAGTAGATACATTCATTTTATTATACCAGAATACATAGTGAGAGAGGCGAGTGGGAGAGGTGAGAGGCGAAAGAGTTAGTGTATCCCAGTATATGTGAATCACGCTTGAATATATTGTATTTGAAGCAAATTACATCTAATTTGACTCGCATATATCTGAGATATATGTGTCTAATAAATGTATATAGTGAATTTGTATTGTTTTCTTTTTTAATGGAATAAACTTTAAAATGGATGGTAAGTACCAAAAACTACTACTAAACACACAACAAAAAATGATTCAAAAAAAACTTATTGATTTTCGAACTTATTGAAAAATAATATTTTATTGAATAGAAACCATTAATCATTACAATAATCACTCCCATCAAAATACGAAGAGTCAACCAAATTCAACATCTAAACGCACTATATATATATATTTAAATAAACCTTTTACTGACACTTGACTCTGCCCCTATTGCATATACATGTTATGATACTCGTGATATTTGCACTCATCTTTTATTGAATTAGCATCTACATTGCTTAGACTCTTAGGGATCGTTTGGTAGGAAAAAAAATGCAGGGATTAGTAACACAAAGAGTAGTAGTACAGGGTGTATTTTTTATCAAGTGTTTGGTTCATTTCTTTTGACCTCATCTTGTGTTTGGATTAAAATTCTACAAAAAGCTTCTTTCCAATTATACCCTTGCATTAATATGAGATTTTATGTTTTATGTAATCGGTCATAAAAAAAAAAAGTAATCGATTGATAATTGCCGGACAATATTATATTTTTATGGTCTTCTAACTAGCTAGGAGAAGAACAATTTTGTTGTCATGTTTGTTATTTTCTCACTTGAATTATTTGAGGATAAACAATTGTTATCTTAATAAATTAATCACTTAAAAACGTTTATTTTCAATTTAGAATAGATAGACCATCTACTTTAAAATAAAAAAATGGTTAAAATACTAAAATCAAATAAATCATCTACATTTACATAAAAAAAGTGCAAGTTGTAGTTTTAATATGTATGCAATTTATAAATTGTTCAAACTACAAACAATTAGAAACTCATATAAACCAACAAATAATATATTCAATTAAGATCACAAACGTCATGTGGTGATATATTTGCATTTTCAATTAGTAAATGTTAAACAACTCACATTTTAAATATTGTATTGATATGTATTGACACTTATTTATTAACAAACAACTCTCTCTAAATAATAAAATTTGTAAGCTAATTTATTAAAATAAATTTACTAGTACAAATATAAAACATAAAATCAAGAAAATAAATAAAATGGTTTGAGAGATATTTTTGTCTTTACATAGATAATCTCATGGTATTAAATCCAATGTATTACTAATACCACCACATGGAAGGTATTAGTAATACCTCCTATAGTACCCATGTAGGGTGTATAACTAATCCATGGATTAGTTATACTTAGGCCCAAAAATTCTACCAAATATAGTACTAAATAATACCATACATAATACATGGATTATTTCTCCTAATACCTCCTATCAAACGACCCCTTAAAATTACTGATGGCTCGTGTCAAATTTTTCAAATATAATGTATTTTTGAGAGAATTCAAAATGGCAATGGGACATTTTTTTTCATGCTTTTTTTGGGCTATAGTTGTGTCCACAACTTGTCAAACAACAATTTTATAGTGCTAGCTTGTTGTCTCCAAGCTCAGAAATCTTGAACACAAAGGTCATATTTAAGATCAGTCATATGAATCTTCATACTTCATTTTGTTTTAACTTAGATCAGTCTTATTCCAAATAATAAGAGTCTAAGTATATATCGAGTTATCATACTGAAATCAAAATTTTCAATACTTAAGTGTTGATATTTTTGTATCTGATGTGCATTTTAATAAAGTTTTGGGTATTAAGTGTTGATATTTTTGTATTTGATGTGCATTTTAATAAAGTTTTGGGTATTCAGTGTTGGCCTAAATTGTAATATTGCACCTCATCATCTCGAAATCATAGATACGCCTCTAAATTTACTCAAACACATGTATTATTTTTCGAAAACACAAGATATATTTTTCATTCATTTTAAGCAAGAAAGAATTTTAAAACTTCTCTTTATTTTCTACTGGACTAGTGCGAGTATACCAAATATAGACTATAGTCGATAGGAATTTTGAATTGACATTTTCTCCGGTAACTCTTTTAGTTATGGAATCACTTTTTCTTTTGTCCACTTTCTTTTTATTCTGATAAGTTTTGTCTCATCAAATATTCTCAAACACGTGGGAATTTGAATGGTATTTAGTAGGATAAAAATAATAATTTTGAAATAAAATTAATATTAACTTTATTTTATATTTATTCCACTACTTTTCATATACAATAATTACATTAACAAAATTTATTAATAAAATATTTTTATTTATCCTATCGTACATGAAAACGTCATTTATTGTTCAAGATACCTAGATTTAACTTGGGAACAACTTTAGTTTTGCTGATGTAAAATGGTATCTGACACATTGTAATCAATTTGACGTACCTTTTATTGTTGTTGTGATTTTCCGATGTAAATTTAAATTGACACAAATTATTAAATAAAAATTAATTAAATTAATTTTCGAAAAAAATAATATAATAACTAATAAAGGACGGAGAGAGAAATAATCAAATGAAAAAAGCTTATATTTATACAAAATAAGATCACATACGTTTTAAGTCTCTCTCCCAATTTCATATAAAATGTTGTATAAATTATATATATAAACTATATAATTATAAATCTTTAATAGCAAAAAATAATCATTTCTCGTAGATAATATTTGCTCTTCCTTTTACGAGAGGATTTATCGAAAATAATTTATAATTTATTATTTTTCTCGATCTCACTTGCGGAATTAATGTGTAATTAAATATTGTACCTGAACTTGATGACTTGAATTGGAACTATAACTGCACTGAGATTTTCAGTTTCAGTTGAATTATGCCTTATTTGATTTTCAGCTGACGATACTGACTTTTTTTTTTCTCATCAGTCCTTGAATTAGTTGCTATTTCCATAACAGGCCGTTTCCGGTGAACCTCCGTCATGATCATCGCCGTCGTCGGAATAATCCTTATTGTTGTTCAGTTTGAGCTCCTGCCAAATCCAGATCTCCGTTTCGAATTCGGCCGTTTCCGATAATCCTCCATCATGATTATCGCCGTCGCCGGTTACATCGGAACAATCCTTATCGACGTGGATATAGTAATCACCGGGAGAATCATTGATGTTGTTGTTGTTCTTCTAATTCCTTTTGAGATGAACTCCTTCCAAATCCAGCGCCATCGTAAAATCGGTGCCACATCTCCGTTTCAAATTCGGCTGTTTTCGGTGATCCTCCGTTTACGTTGCCGCCGCCATCGAAATAATCCTTATCATCGTCGGTGTAGTAAACAGCAGGAGAAGTATTGATGTTGTTTTTCTTCTTCAAAACCTTCTTCCGCTTCTTATTCCTCCATGCTTTCCGGCAAAGTCCCGTCGGAACTTTGTACAGAGCAAGTAGGAGAAAGTGCAGCACTGTGCACGGACAACAACAACATACCATCGCACACTCCGCCGCCGTCCCTCCGGCCACTTCTCCTATCCTCTTATGCTGATTTCCACCTCCGCTTCGTTTCTCATCCTCCTTCGTCGTCATCGCCGTCGCCGTCCTCGATAGTTCCTTTCTCTCATTCACCGCCGATGACTCCACCACGATATTCTGCCCAGTCATCGCCGTTAAACTCCGATGAATCACACACACAAAAATCGCTGGCCGATCATTACCAAATTCACACTAAAAATGCTCTTCGTAAACAAGTAGGAGAGAAATTGGTATACTTACTAAGGATTTTTTATTTGTTTTTATTTTTTTGAGATTATATGAATTTGAAATACTACTACTAATTTTATGGTGAATATAAAATATAGAATTGCTTACTGTATTTATTTGTTTATTTTATGGGCTGATATTTTTTGAAATTGGGTATTTCTTAATTTTGAACTTGGATTATTGTAATTACTAATTGATTTTTTTTTTTTTGTAAGTTGACTATAAATAGGAGAGCAGAGAAGAAAACAAAGAAATGATGAGTGAATTGTAATATTGTTAATAAAAAGAATAAATATATTTTTTAAAAGTTGACTATAAATAGGAGAGCAGAGAAGAAAACAAAGAAATGATGAGTGAATTGTAATATTGTTTATTATTATTATTATTATTATTAGAAACAAAATTTAATCGGTCATTATCTTTACCTACAATATCGAGACATCAAGGTGTATTTTGATAAAACAGAGTAATAATTGAAATAGGTAAAGAAAATAAATGATAATCACACACAATATATATATATATATATATATATATATATATATAATAAAAGAGAACCCTAGGCCCGCCTACGTGGCGCGACCACAAACCAGGATTCCTTTTTTAATCTATTTATTTTCAAAACTAGCATTCCCCTTTCATGAAAAAGTTGCGACTTTAATGAAAAATTGTGACTTTTATGAAAATTGTGACTTATATGAAAAGTTGTAACTTCTATGAAGAGTTGCGACTTTTATGAAAAGTTGTGTCTTTTATGAAAGGTTATGACCTTTTCGAAAGGTTGTAACTTTTCCGAAGAGTTGTGACATTTTCGATAAGGCACAATAAATATTTGTTCACACTACCCTTTGTTGTCTAGCTATAAATAGAGGGATTTCCTCTTATATTAAAACAACGAAAATTCTGAACTTCTTCTTCTTCTTCTTCTTCTTCTGCACAATTAAATATTCATGAACAAATTTTTCCTTTCTGTTTCATCCTATTGTTACCGATCCTGGTATGTTTTTTTACAGTCATTAATTTATGCTTATGTTATTAATTGATGTTTTTGAATACATGTTTTAGTCTTTGTTGTTTATGTTTCTGCAAAGTTATTGCTATAAGTATTTGTTAGTACAAATTAAATAACACGCATTAATTGAGTATTCACGCAAATTTTTTCTACTGAAATTGTTGAAGGTACGTAAAAAAAATTCCTTAAAGATTTATACTACTATCTCTTGAAGACAAAATTCAAATTTGGTATGTCATTGTAAGGATAGAAAGACCTTAAAAGCTTTATCGCACCTTGATGTGCGAAGTGAACCAGGAAAAGAAGACAAGAATTACGGTTGATGTTCATTTGAATCTCCAAAAATATCAAGTAATAACACTTCCTGGGCAAAAAGATAAATTATAAAATCAAATTAAAGATAATTGATTGAAGGATAAATGATAGATATTATAATTATCACCCTCCTTTACATTATTAATGTTTGTTACTACGTAATCTTGTATGAAAGATATTATAGTGTTTTAGTTTTAATGACTCATAAATTTTAAGTATTATTTTATAAATTCTATGATATTAAATTCTCGCGCGAAGTGCAATAATTTTACTAGTTAAGATATAAAACTCGGAAAAGCAAATAGATTAGATATGTTTTTTTATCATTAAATCTTGTGTAATTGATGCTTTCTTGGAACCTTTAATATATATCCTTCGTGATCTTTTTGCCGTCCAAATAGAGTCTAATAATATACCTAATCATAGTTATCTTTACTAAAACAACAAAAAATTAAAGGGTTGACCAAAAGAACCATTTTATATGACATACAATAGTGGTGAAGGTTATTTGTATAGTTTGTTTATATCAAATTAATTAATACATGATATAAATTAATTTATACACTTCTATTATCAATTTTTTTTTATATTAAAAACAGAAGAGGTTCAATATTTACAAGAGAATAAGTTCAAAAGTAGCCCAACTCAGAAAAAGAAAAAAGAAACAAATAATCAAAAGAAAAAAAAAGAAAAGGAAGGGTCACAAAGCTTCGGACCATTCCAATAAATCGAACCTTCGATGACTCCAAGTTGCTCCATGGTCGGAGAAATCGACATCTCCGATGAAAGTGGCGGTGAGAAGAGGATAGAAGATAGTTCAAACACCTCAAATATATAAACTATTGGATTGATTGATGTAAATCTATCTTATGCAAGTAAGTACTTCATTATTTTAATTTATGTGACTTACAAAAATAATATCATATTTTATAATAAATCAAATGATATCACATAAATTAAAATGAAGAAAATATTAATTATTATTAATAACTTGGAAAAGGAGTAAAGTGCATAGTACCAATTCAATGAATTTCTCCATTCTAAAATCAAACATGATACCTCTACTTAAGGGGAGGAGGATCTCATGCCATCACCATTAGCAGCCCATTAACAAAAACTACACACCAAACAAATGATGGATTATTTTCATACGGAGGAGATCAGTAATGGAGTCAGAAATTTTTTAAAAAAAATTACACAAATATATTAGAATGTCAAACTTAGAATTTGGTGTCTAAAGTATTTTTTTTTCTAACCTTCTTTTGTCTCTCTACTAAAGTCTTCCTTCTATCAAGGAAATTTGATTTGAAATTTATAGCTAATTGATCAAAATAATTGTTTTGTCCTCTTTATGTGGTGTAATTTTTTGATGAAGGAGATTCAATTGAATCTCTTGCCTCCCTATAGCTTTGCTAGTGACAGATTAAAGTGTGTTTGATATGACGAAAGTATTTGATAATTAGTGCATTTTAATATTAAAATATTAAAGTGCTTGATATTTGGTGTCGTTAATCTTTGTAACTTTTGTAACCACAAATTAAAGACGTGTTCTCCTTATTATCTTCTACTAATTGTCCCGCTATACCTCAAATAACTATCCACATTCTTGTCATTTATTTGTTGAAGAAATCATACACATATTGTTGTTTTCTTCGTTGTGCTGTAATAGATTAAAAAAAAAAAAGAGGAGTGTGTTGAAGATGAAGGAAATTAATGATTGGAACATGTCAAAGGAACATGTCCAAATAAGCTGACTGACGTGTTTACTGTTGTAGAGTTGGAGTCACACTAGGACTAGACTACTAAATCTTAACTTATGTACGACTAAGCTAATGTATCTTGTATGGAGCTAAAGTCGACTAGGATAATGTGCTTTAGCTATAGTTGTAATACTACTCATGTCAATAATATATTTGTACTGGAGTAGGACTCGTAGTGTAGCTAGTATAGGACTCTTCTCCTAAGGAGCATGTACTCAACAACTTCAATCATCAATACAACCCTTGATTCTCTATACTTTACGTGAGATTTCTACAAAGTGGATTAGAAGTATTATATTGTGTTTATATTTTGAGAATTGTATAGTGAAAGAGAGAGTTGAAACAAAAATAATTGTTCAAAGTCTTCAACTTATTCATTATATAAAAAAGAGTAATTTTGGTAGAACTTTAGACTTTTCAATTAGTCCAGAGTTGTTTGAGTTATATGATAATATTATTGGAATATCGTATTCTGGAAGGGACAAGTCGAGAGCTATAGTGCTAATTAGTGTAGATTATACCACATTGAGCTTGAATTTCCTTTAAAAAAATGAGATATAAACGCCTTAGTCTGAATATTTTTATTTATTTTATCATCAATTATAATTTATGATATATTTACTGAACATTTTAATATTTTTGTCTGAAGGTGTAGCATTATTGATAAAAGAAAATTAGGTGCTTGTATTTCAGGCGTTTATGAAGGCGTCCATAACGTAATCAGTGACTAGTGCACCATAATTGAACCTAACTATATTTTATAACTTTGATTTAAATAAATTCTCTTTTGTATTAATAAAAATAAAGTTTCTACAACAATATCTAAGGTACTATATTACAAACACATGACCAACATTTTTTTAACTAGAATTCATTTTTAATTTTATAAATAATAATATTACTATATGAGATTAATTAAAAAATTTATATTATTTAAGAATATCACCTCAAATACAGGTAACTTCTTATCATTACCGAAATCAATGTCAAAGAAAACATGTTTGTGGTTTGATTGAGGTCTAAGAGAGAAAAAAAATATTTTGTAAGAACAAAATATCGCACGAAATATTGGTTAGAGCTTTTGAAGGATTATGACATGAATGTGCTTTATCATCCGGCAAAATCAATGTAGTTACGGATGCCCTAAGTCGATTGTCCATGGGTAGTGTGGCCCATGTAGAGGATGAGAAGAAGGAGTTAGTTCGTGATGTACATAGGTTGACCCAATAAGGTGTCCAACTAGTGGATTCCACCAAGGGTGGTGTCATGGTCCATAATGGTTCCAAATCATCCTTTGTAATGGACGTGAAGTCCAAGCAAAACCTTCGTCCCATGTTAGTGCAGTTGAAAGAATCGGTACTCAACAAGTCCGTTGAGGCTTTCTTCCAAGGGGGAGATGGGGTGCTTAGGTACCAAGGCTAGTTATGTGTTCCGCATGTTGATGGCTTGAGAGAGCAAATTCTAGAAGAAGCTCATGGTTCGCGATATTCTATTCATCCGGGAGCCACCAAGATGTACCGTGACCTACGGAAAATCTATTGGTGAAATGACATAGCGGGCTTCGTAGCCAAATGTCTGAATTGTCAACAATGACGTTTGAGCAGGATATATTTTTGCTTACCTCCGTACTGATTAATTTGTGTAGTGTTAAAACGAATATATACACCTTGATATTTAGTGTTAAACTTTAATAAAATTGAGTTTTAGTACATACATCTTTCTAATATATCTTTTCTACCGTCTATTAATTTTTATTGCATTTCATTTTTATTTTTATTTTTATTTTTGGTCTTTCAATTTATTAATATGATGAGACGATTCATATATTACTCATTTTTATGATTGTTTAATTCGTATATATTATTTTCTCAAACATGGCATGCAGGTGTCTACGAAATCATTTACCGTTTAGTTCTTATTCC